CATCAACAAAGGTAACATAATATTGATACCCACATGTAGATAAGGCTAGTGCAGGGCCCCATAAATCATTGTATATTAATTCAAAAGGTGTAGTGAAAATAGTTTTAGACAAACTAGAAAGTAGTTTATGGGACTTACCAAGACAACAAATAGCACAAAATCTAGTGGAAAAAGAAACATAATTTCTAGTTGTTATATGAACAGTAAGATGATTGACAAATTGATAAGACTTGAAGGGTTGTTTGCTAGAAGTGAAAAACAAGGCAGGAAATTGATATAAACCATCTAGACTAACAAAGCCTTATAGAAGAATTTTTTTAGTGGCCTGTGATTTTACTAAGCAAACAAATGGATGAAACTCAAAAATATGGAATTATTTTTTCAAAATTGATCGACATTAATTATATTCTTAGTAATGGATGGAACAAAAATAAGTCTATTTAGAGCAAAATGAAATTTAGGATTTATTAAAAAGGAAAAGGTAGCAACACCTGTTGAATTAATATTGAAGCCTTGACCATTTCCAATGTTAATTTAATCTGATCCTTTAAAAGGGCTAAACTATTGAATATTTTAAGAGACATTGGTTACATGATTTGAAGCACCGAAATATGGAGACCAAGTGTTATTTCTAGAAGAAGAGGATGAGACAATCATGGTTTGAGGTTGTAGTTGTAAATTTCCCTATATGTTAATAAAAACAAAGTACGTTTGTGGGGTGGGAGGTGGTTGAGACCCAAGAACGACATTTTTGTTGAGTGGAGGACAATATAATTGTTGTGAAGATGAAGGAATATATTGCAATGGAGTAGATAAAGTGTTGTACCAAGTATTGGGATTGACAATTTGATTAATAAGGGTAGAAGTAGATATATCCAATGAAGAAGATGGAAAAAAATCCTCATCATATTTATAGTAATAGGAAGATGCAACGTGCCCATAATGATGGTAGACCTAACACTGAAATTCAGCAAATCTACCTCGTCCACAACCATCATGATCGTGAAACGACCACCATGAGAGTTAGTTCGACCATTATAATGTTGCATGAAGTAAGATATGGGTTCTTGATGGGCAATATTTGCTTGCGGGTGTGATATGGAAGAATTAGATTTGAAGGAGGTTGCAACGACATTAATGGGAGCAACAACTTTCTTCATGAATTTAACAAGGCGAGATTTCTGTCAAAGGAGTAAGCTCTCAAGAATGATAATCAAGATGTTTTTTTTGAGGAAACAAAGTCAACAATGGTTATGAAGGCATTGGCAAGGGTTAGGATGTGGAGAACATAATCTGCAATGGTTTGACTCTCAAGATTGGTGTTGTGTAGTTCATTGTGGTGTTATCAAGCTTTTTCATTTGTGTGAGGATGAAAGTATGAATGTATTTTATCCCAAAATTGAAAAGATGTCTTGCAGCCAATAACACGAGTAAGCAAGTCTTTAGACATGGAAGATTAAAACCAAGACATCTAAAGTTGATCTTGTTGTTCTCAGGCAAGATAAGATTAAGATACTTGTCCAACATCTCAATCAGTAATTGAAATAAACTTTTGAGGAATTTAAGGGTTGACCAAAAAGTGATGAAGTTTGTGACCCTTGATCATTGGTTCAACCTATTGACACCAACGAAGGTAGTTCTTGGCGTCCAACTTTTCTGATATGGTGTGGGAGAATGTGAGAGATGGAAATGGGTTTTTTGGATGAACAATATTGATTGGTGTAACGTTTATCAATGAAGGAGGCGATGGTGGTGGAGAAGAATCAACCATGAGAGAGGTGTTGAGAGGATTAATAAGTTCTATGATACCATAATAGAGATATAGAGAGAGAAAAAGACAATATTTCTTAAATGTAAAATATGTATTCAACACATTGAATAAAGAGAACACATGTAGTTTATATAGAGATAACAACTTATAATAGAAGTTGTTGAGCTCTAACAACTATTGAGCCTATAACAGAAAACAATAAATGTGATTAACACTTACCGACTAGGAATATAATAGAAAATAATAAAACAAAAAAATGTAAGGCCTTGCACTACTATTGTACATATAAGTAAAGAGTAAAATTATACTCTAATAGTCCATAAAATTGATTATGATCACAACAAAATTGATTATATTGGCTTGTTTAATAAAAGAAAAACACTTCAATCAACAATTTAACTACAAAGGGTATTTTCAAAAGTTAATTTATAACATCATTTTAGCTTTTTTTATTTAATCAAGTGTAAACAACAAAAAAATTAGTCTTCTTTCAAAAAAATTATTCTACTTCCCTCCAATTTCCATTTCAATTCTTCTTTTCTTTTTTCACATGTTCCCTCCATTTCCCCCACTTCCATCCTCGTTACCAAACAAAATGTAAGCGAGACACATCTCAATAAGTAAATAACCTTTAGTGAATAAGTTAAGGACCCATGACCAAAATTGACAAGAGAATTGCCAAGCAAAACACAAGTCGAACTTCGCTATGTGAATCTTTCTTGCTAATTATATCCTAAAGAAAGAAACCAATATGAAGCCATTATCATTAGGGGTGGGTATATAAACTAGGTTTCGCGGGCCGACCCACAAAGCTTATAGACCGCAAGTTAATGAGTTTATCTTTTTTATCTGCATAGTTATAATAGAAATTAAGTCAAGCCTATGAAGCCACAAACCTTACGAGGTACGCCATATATTAGACAATACGTTTCATTTGGAGAAAGGGGGCAAACAACTAAAACAAGTAAAAAATAAAAGTTACAAAATCTAATTTCCTTTTTGCGATTGTGCCTTTTGCTCTCTCCATCATGCATTTGTGCCTTTTGCCCTCTCCATCATGGATTTGTGCCTAACTCCCTACCACACATTGCACTACCTCTAGGCTCTACCCCTCCACCATCCTTAACACCTTGCTTGCATTTTTTAAGAATATTTATAAGCAATCAAACACATTTTAATTATTCATGAAAATCATAACTTATAAAATTTATAATTTTTAAGATTTATGATTCTCAAATATGAAAAAAAATTCTCTTTATGCCAATCCCTAAATCCTAAAAGAAAGTGATTGAGGTGAGAAATCTCCTAAAAGTGAAACTTAACATGATTTAGAGGGAAAAAAATCTAACAAAAGATGATCAACTAACTTTTCTAACAAAAATTAGTCATTAACGATGTAAGTCAATACTTTAAGTCAATACAACATGAACTAAAATAATATATATATATATATATATATATATATATATATCATTTATCATTTCAAAATTAAGATACAAAATAAATCGACATGAAAGAATAAAAAAAAGTATGAAAATCTAGAATATATGTAACTCATTTAAAATTGTAAGTAAATTTATCATTACAGTAGAAAATTGTTTTCTTAACTTCAATGTGAAGATATAAGGTTTGTTAAATAATGAATGATTTTTTTTTATAGACAAAGATAATATCATGTATATATAAAATGGTATCAACAATACCCAACCCGTTACAAATTTGTTATATGTCCACCATGTAAATCCAATATGTTAATACTTATTTATGATGTATCACTAGCATAAATAAATGTTAACCCACTGAAAGCATTTCAACATGTATACATAAAGGACTAGAGCAAAAGCATTATCAATCAAGTGATCAAACCCAAATAAAAACATAACAATATACGAAGACCACCAGACATGTATGCTACTCCTCCCAATTGATCAAATTGCACTACAAAAACCATTAGCTAGTTAACCTTCACCAACCTTCCAAAACCAGAATCATAATGAAAGCCCGCTTCCACAATATATACCCAATCAAACTAGGAAATTTCGCATAAGTATCACTCTACAAGTCCCAAGCATGCACATGGACTAAAGTTCCATTAATTGAAAGAAAAATGAATAAGGAACTCACTCATGGTAGCTAGAGATAACATGATTTTACTTATGATCATTTGAGAAATAGGTAAAATAACATAGAGTATCTTGATCCTAATCGCGACTAAGGTTATTAAAAAAAGTGTGACCTTGACTGCAGCCTATCACCGACATTAAAAACATGAAAAACTCTCAAGATGAAGAAACATTCAATTTGATTAATTTGTCAGGTCTACCTTAAATGCTTATAAGAGGTTTCATTTATAGGCTGAGATAAACAATTCATCATGTACAACGAACAACTTTCCACTAAGAACCTACTGAAAATTGAATTTTCACTAGCTATTATTTCCCACTTAACATTTAATTTTCACTAGAAATGATTTCTCATTATCCCACTAACTATCATAATAGTTTAAGAAGTAAAAAAAAAAACAAAAAAACAAAAAAAAAATACATCCTAGCCTAAAAAATATCAAAAGCCATATGAATTTATTTAATTAAAAATAAAAAACAGAAATTAAATTAAAAGTTAAGAAGATGGACTTAATTAACCCTCTGGCCCCAAAACTGTGTAATCCACCCAAATAAAGTCCAACCCACAACAACTTTAGTTTTAGATGTTTGGGCAATTTGAACTCTCCAAATTATTGCCTTTAACTCTTAGATCATGCTCTAGTCATTTGGACTTTCCATCCGATGAAGAGATATTTGAAATCATTAGAGCTTATAGATTTCTATTGAGACGCTCCAAGTGAATTTTTTGTCCGAAAGCCTTTTTTTAAAAATATTCTTTTTGGCAAAGTTCTTTCCTAGTCGGGCGTCAATTTACTGCATGAAAACCTTATTTTCTCAAAGCTATATTGATTCCGTGTAAACTAGGCACTATAGAAACTAATGATATTCAAGGGAACTACACTCAGCTACGCATGAAACACAGTACAAAAAACACTAATTTAGTTGCCAAACAAACTGATCATCCTACCAATACAACATGAATACCCAACAAGAGTTGCATTAAAGGATTTCAACAAAAATAACAGAATAAATGTTTAAGTAAATTTTCAGCGCTAGCATCTCGACTGTGAGTAACAACCCGTATCAGGTGAAATACAGTCGCTGCAATGCAAATCACAACCACGATTATCAGAATGAGAAATTTGGAAAATGTAGCATTGCAAGATTGTAATGTAGCAATGAAATAGTAAACTTAAATCAGAACATTTAAGAACATTATTTGAAACCGTTGCCTTTCTTTGGCAACAAAAATGGGGTGAAGGGTATCTGTCTCTAATGTTTCAGGTTATATAAAAACCTAAATGTTTGGATTAAATACAAACCGGAGACGGAGTTTAGACCAAATCATCGACATTTAGACATCATGTTCTTTACCAAGTCTAGAATCCGAAAGTAATCAAAGAAAAGAGATGATTCCTTTCCCTCCAGTCCATCCCGGCTGACCCTGTTGCTACCAGCCAGGTTGTTACACGGACTGCCACCAACAACGAGATCAAAACCACCGAAGGTGTTCATCATCTGCTCCAACCGATCACCATCTAGCTCCCGTACATCTTCCATGTCATATAAATGACCTTTCTGATTTGTTTGCTCCCACCAACTTCTAACAATATTCCTATTCACTTCAGATTTTTCAACAGACACAACATTCTTCAGAGGAATACCGAGCCGATGAAGAGCTACTTCTGCCCCACCGATTCCAGAAAAGAGAGAAAGAAGATTGATGCCATTAGGATACATCTCCTTCAGAACTGACAAGTGGTATGCCACAGTGTCAACCTGAAATAAACTGAACCATTAAGGAAAGAGAAATTTACGTGGAAACATAAATGCATTAACCATTAGTTACGAAGCGTTAATTTCAAGGATTAAAAGTTGATTCTTAGGAATGTGAACACGAGAATGTAATACTCATGTTTTTTATGAGAATCTAAAAACTATTCTCAGATATCATTCATTCTCATGAGAATATTGAAAGTTCCATCCCAAACACACTTGTAACTTCTTTTTTTTTCTAAATTTTTTTATTTAAATTTTAAAAAATATTTCAAGGAATATTAAAATATAATCTAACATGTTTTTTAAATATACCTGAGAATAAAATTTAAGTTAAAATATTCCTGGAAATACAATTCCTAAGAATACATTAAGATAGCTTGAAACAAACACCACCATAGAAAACATTAGAAAATATCATAAAAAAACACATGCTGAAACTGCATATGACACTTGGAAAACAATATTCTGAATACAAGAAGCCAAAGCCTTAGTTGACGTCTCCCACATAATAGATCAAATGTTGCCATAGTGTTATGTCAACCAATTATTTAAGGAGGTAAGAGGCTATTTATACATAATTAAATTTTAACGGGTTTGTTGTGTTATTTTGGTCTTCCTATATCTAATTACTCTGACTAAGCATAAAATTAAAATTACTAGATAGTTCCAAGGAGTAATATATTCCTTAATGACAGTAAACATCCAGAAGGATCTCTGTGGACTATGGACGCTTCATTATTAGAAAGAGAGAAGTATCATACCTGGAATGAATTGCCAAGTGACTTATATCGGTCAGTCCTACTTATTCCACCTCCCCTGGTGTGGTTCCTTGGGAAACCCAACAGTGTTTCTACTTCATCAGGTTCTAGTGGAGCAACCTTGTTCCTTCCAACCCAAACCAGATTCCATTTCCGACATTGATCAAGAACATACTTCTGAACATGATCAGGTGGATCTCCTTCGTAGTTTTCTACAGCTTTTCTAATTCTTTCTGTTAGTTTTGCACTGCCAATACATGTTTGCAAACAATTAAGTTTGGTCCTTGTGTCCCATGAGGGCCACCACTTCCTTGTTAGGGGAAAAGCCTCATGTATTGTGCGCGGCGGAAGTGGTAGAAGTGGGAACCTATTTTGGATGGGGAGATTGTGAATATATCCCCTTTTCCTGGCTGCAGCACAGAAAAACTTTGAATCTACAAATTCAGGCTCAACATCATACAAGAATCTTGAAATTGTTTGCCAGACACCTTTTGGTGCTAAGGCAACATTCTCATAATAGAAGTAAGGAGGCCCAATGGCATCTTCTGGAATCCTCCTGTGAGTTCTGAAGCTTGACTCTGTAGGTACACCAAACCCAATCATTGGGTTTGGAAGATGGAGAGCTTCCTCATCATCTTCATTGATGATTTTCTTCTCACATCCCCTAGGCTTTTTCCTTCCCAACACTTCATAATCATAAAATCTTCGTTTTTTGGACTTAGCATAGTCATTGTATCGTAGCTGTAAAAATAACGTTAAAATAAATTATACATGTGACAGGTAAATGAAGAACACGGGGAACAACAGATGGATGATGGTAGATAATTTTAATGAAAAAAAATTGCACAAAATTATATGCATTAAATTTCTATTTTCTTCATCCCAAGATACCAATATGACAAGGCAAAAATGCTACATTGCTACCTTTTCTTCAGGAGGTAGAAGGGCATCTTCAGCCTTTGCTATTTGAGCAACACCTATAAAATCTACCAATTCATCAAGTGAGGAGTTTTGGCCTGCAGTATTTCATTGTAATAGTTAGCCAAGTAAATAAAGAGTACAAAGTTCATCCAACAGATATAACATTAACTTGTGAACACAAACAAACACAAGGCCATGTGAGGTTATTATTGTGGTTGACCATGTTAATTCTATTAAGACCAAGGTTGTCAAACTCGAGAGTTAAGTAAACTAGTGGAGGCTCAATACACTCGAAGGTTTACTTAATATAAAAAATGTATTAAAATACCTATAAATAACTTAATATCTCATTATTCCAACTCCATAATAAAGAAAAATAATAAATTAATAAAAGAGCAAAATTTACTAGTACATCACTAGTTAATAAAATAATTACTGTATGCAGTAAAAAAAATTACTGCATAATCATTAATTAGTGTATTTCCATTTTCAATACAATAAATAGATAGACAAATAATGATTCAGTAAATAGAGAAGAGGATTGCTATTTGTGTATTTTAAAGTTTAGTAAAAAGGGTAAAGGGAAATTCTGAATCTTCAACAAGAGTGCAGCACTCACTAGACACGACTACAGCCGTGAGAACCCCAACGCCAAGCAATATAGCCACAGACACGCAAGTTAAATCTCGATGTGCAAGTCACAATACAACACTCACAAAGCACAAATGCGAGCATATGACAGCCACCATGACTGCAGACAAAGGCACAATAGCAAAAATCCACCTCAGATTGCACTGTGACAAAGACCCTAATTCTCTGTTTTGAAGGGGAGAAAAAATACCTAAATGCACCTTGCACCCTCATTTTGGGGGGATTTTTTTGGGCCCACATAGATGTCTAAAATCACATCTAAAATTGCAATTATGTGCGATCCTACTCGAGCTTGCTCAAGTTTACTCATTTCTACTTGAAAACGAGTTTACTTACAAGTTGAACAGGTTTGTGTTACTACACTCATAAACTAGTGCGTTATTACAAGTAAACACTCAATTTTGATAACCGTGATTAAGACGAAATTTAGCAAAAAATAGCAAAAGTTATTATCTATTAATTGATTGTACAAACTACACCAATATTCTGAAACAGTAGCAACATTAAAGATGATTATATAACACATGACCTATATTCCTAAGGTTCCAAACAAACGAATTTGTCTCTGCTTTGGACATTGCAACAGTTAATTTCCAGGAAAGGGAAACTACTATGCACTTATGTTCTGTCCATTATTTTGAGTACACAATGGTATAAAATGCATATTGATATGCATTATGGCAGCAGCTAGGACTCAACTGAGAGCAAAAGCCTATCAATAAAATGCATGTTGATATTGACTTGGAGCCAAGCTGGATAAGTTGATCCTGATCTCTAGAAACTAAATGGTGTTGGATCTTTCAAAAAGGCTATTCTTCATTCTTCAAGCACTCATAAATCATAATCACATTTGAAACTACGAGTATTCAAATTCCAATCACATTTGTCACATTGGGAATTGCTGTATGAAATATTCATCCAGAATGTGTTTTAGCTGTGTAACAAAAATTCGTGCTAAGAGAACATATAAAATATCCAAAAGCTGACAACAAATAGAATGTCAATCCTTAAACCTCCTAGAAAACAAATATAATTAGCTAGCAATTCTTTTATTTGTCTAACGGCTCAATTGCCCACAGGACACAAATCAAGGTGCTGAAATCAATTAAAGATAAGGAATCATAAAACAAGCAATAGTAATAAAATCAAAATTTTCTATCATTTTTTGCAAAATAACAAGCTAGCAACTCACACCAAACATATGAATAGGTCATACATAACGCACCTAATCTTTCAATGGCAATTAAAGCCTCCTCCTGCTTATATCCCATTTTCATCAAAGTCCGTAAGGTATCATCATTCTCAGAATCAGAAATATTCTTTTCAATTTCCTGCAAAACAATATCAAATAAAATAAGCAAGCTGTATCTTAATTATAAAACAAAACCTGCACCTATATTGTTTCTTAGCACAAATATCTGTAAAAGCAAGCGGAAGCATGATGACATTTCATGAGATTCCCAAGGAAGGAACATAAACTATCCTAACTGTCTCATGTTTGAAAGTGATTACATGTCCTATAGCACTAGCAGAAACCATCCCAGTAGATGGCACTAAAGACACAAAATAACTTGATAATATGACGAATCAGATCATACAAACTCCAGAAAACAACCATCAAAGCAAAAGATCAAAGATTACTTCATCAGAAAAAATATCAGTATCTGAGAAATCATCCCAAGAGCTCCCAGCATTCCCTGAAGAAGAAGGATCTGTCACAATTTGCTGCTGTGGCTGGGGAGAACTTTCTAGAGCCTGCAAATATGAAAACAAAAACACCATGATAATTGTAACATTAAAAGTCAAAATCTTATAATATGAAAATGGTATATTAAAGATGTCAGAAAGAAATCTAAAAACTGTTTGTAAAACAAAAGAGCCAAAATGAGAGGTGGAGGGTGAAAAAAAAAAAAACAATTATATGCACAAAAGAACCACAGATCACCCATTGAGGTTGATAAAATATTATTTCAATTGTATTAAGGCACAATTATACTTGGACAATGCTAAATAACAATATTGAAAGATTAAAATAAGAAATTGTTATCCTCTTCGTAATAGGAAAGAATCATAAAAAGTGTATGAAATCTGTTTAAAAATTTAAATGCATAACTTTTTAAGAAAGCATTATCCTCCTAGTTTGAAGAATAAATATATAACCATCAAGCTATTGCTTATCATTTCATACAACATAATTAAAACTTGCATTTCATGAACTAAAATATCACTGCAAATTATTGCAATGACATTTCTGCTACTATTGGAGTATAGTTTTACTCCTTACTTATATATGTAGAATAGTAATGTAGATTATTTTTAATCTTCTTCTTTACTGTCACATGTATTGTCTTTATTATAGACCAACATAGATTGGCTCTATATAAACCTGTCTTGTATTCCTTGTGCAGTTGGTGAAAACAAATTTTGCTTATCGAAACATTCTCTCATCTTCTCTCTTCCGCTCTCCCTCTCTCTCTCTCACACAATTCTATTATGGTATCATAGAGCTCCTCAATCCTCTTCCCCTTCTTTCTTCTCTTTCACATTTATTGTCTTTATTATAGACCAACATAGATTGGCTCTATATAAACCTGTCTTGTATTCCTTGTGCAGTTGGTGAAAACATATTTTGCTTATCGAAACATTCTCTCATCTTCTCTCTTCCGCTCTCCCTCTCTCTCTCTCACACAATTCTATTATGGTATCATAGAGCTCCTCAATCCTCTTCCCCTTCTTTCTTCTCCGTTCATCTCGACAATCTTGTCATGGCTGAATCCACTTCTCCAGCGGATTCCTCTCCACCACCACCGCCTCCTCCACCTATCAACGCTACTACACCCATCAATACCGTTTCTTCAAAGAACCCTCCCACTAATCCCTCTCTGTCTCTCACCTTTTCCCACACCATATCAAAAAAACTAGACACCAGGAATTATCTTCTTTGGTGCCAGCAGGTCGAACCAGTAATCAAAGGCCACAGACTCCCATCATTTTCTTGTTAACCCACAGATTCCCCAAAAGTTTCTCTCCACTGATCGTGATTATGGTCAGATATCTGAATCCTATCTTGCTTGGGAACAGCAAGATCAACTATTGTTATCTTGGCTGCAATCTTCCATGTCTAAAGACATGCTTACTTGAGTTATAGGTTGCAAGACGTCCTTTCAATTGTGGGACAATACACTCCTACTTTCATTCTCACATGAACGCCAAAGCCTGTCAACTTCACAATGAACTACGCAACACTAATCTTGAAAATCAAACCATTTCTGACTATGTTCTCCGAATTCAAACCCTTGTTGATGCTCTCACAGCCATTGGTGACTCAGTTTCTGCAAAAGAGCATCTTGACATCATTCTTGAAGGCTTACCGGAAGAATATGAATCAACTATGTCACTCATCAGCAGTCGTTTTGACATGCTGTCCATAGACGAAGTCAAGACCTTGCTTCTTGGCCATGAGTCTCGTCTTGACAAATTCAAGAAGAAAGCAGTTGCATCTGTCAATGTCACTACCACCAACCTTGAACCCAATTCATCTTTATCGCACCCACAAACAAATCTTCCTCATCAAGAACCTCCACCTCAATTTGCTCAACGTCGTGGGGGTCGCACAAATTTTTGTGGTGGCTGTTTCCCTAATCGTGCTGGTCGCGGACGAGGTAGATTCACTGGATTTCAGTGTCAGGTTTGCCATCGCTATGGACATGTTGCTTCTTCTTGCTACTATAGATTTGATGAGACCTTTGTCCCATCCTCCCCACTGAATGCACCCATGTTCCCCTCTACCAATCACAATGCAGATGCGGGTTCCTGGTACAACAATCAAACCGCTCCAGCCCAGTACTTCCCGCCACCCTCACAACAACACGCTCACCCTCCGCCCCAGAATTCTTGGACCTAGACCACAACCCACCCCACAAGTTCACTTTGCCTCCACACATACACAACCTCAAGCCATGATTGCCTCATCTTCCTCCTCGAGCAACAATACTTGGTATCCGGACTCTGGGGCTTCAAGCCATGTAACCAATGTCTCTCAAAATATTCAACAGTTTACCCCTTTGGAAGGACCGGATCAAAACCATATTGGTAATGGACAGGGTCTTCATATTAATTCCACAGGTGTCACTACATTTCCCTCCGCGACAAATCCTAAGTTTCAATTTGCTCTAAACAATCTACTTTTTGTTCCCTCCATTACCAAAAATCTAATCAGTGTTAGTCAATTTTCCAAAGATAATTCTGTCTTTTTTGAATTTCACCCTTCCGTTTGCTTGGTAAAATCACAGGATAATAAAGAGATCCTTCTCCAAGGCTTGGTTTGTCCGGATGGGCTGTATCAATTCCCTGCTTTTCTTCCCACCACCAGTACACAACCTGTCCAACACTTTAAAACTGCCACATCTCCCTCTGTTAACACGACAAGCCAAAAATCTGTTTCTTTTGCCACTTGGCACTCTAGATTAGGTCATCCTAATGTTGATGTAATGAAACTTGTTTTCCGAAACTTCAATATTCAATCTGTGAACAATATTGAATCAACTTTTTGTGTTTCTTGTTGTCTTGGCAAATCTCATAGATTACCCTCAAATTTTTCCAAAACTGTTTACACTACATCTTTTGAATTAATTTTCAGCAATTTATGGGGCCCTGCACCAGCCACACCTACATGTGGCTATCAATATTATCTCACCTTTGTTGATGCCCACACACGCTTTACACGGATCTATCTTCTCAAAAACAAAGCCCAAACTCTTGGTATCTTTAAGCAGTTTCATACTATGGTTAAGAATCAATACAACCAACCAATCAAAGCTTTACAAACTGATTGGGGTGGTGAGTATCGCACCTTTACAACGTATCTCAATGATGTTGGAATTCAACATCGTATCATATGCCCACACACACACCACTAAAATGGGGTTGTCGAACGAAAACATAGGCACATTGTTGAACTTGGCCTCACCTTGTTAACCCAAGCTAATTTGCCTATACAATTCTGGGATCATGCCTTCCTCACTAGCGTTTATCTAATCAATCGGCTTCCATCTTCCTCTATTCAAAATGCGGTTCCATATCACAAACTTTTCCACCAACCCCCAGATTATCACTTTCTCAAAGTCTTTGGTTGCTCTTGTTTTCCACATCTTAGACCTTACAACAAAAACAAACTTCAATTTCGATCACAAGAATGTGTCTTTTTTGGGGTATTCAACCTCTCACAAAGGCTACAAGTGCCTTGCCACTGATGGACGTCTCTATGTTTCTAAAGATGTTGTATTTAATGAAACTATGTTTCCCTACAAGGATGTCTTCTCTCCGCCCACTGTAAAGCTCTATTCAAGTTCCTTTTACTGTGACCCACACTCAAACCTCTACACCTTACTCCTCGTCAATGTCCTCACATGAGCCCTGTCCAATTCCCACTCATCAAACGCCACCCACTATGGAAGCCAAGTCTTACACTCCAACATCCTCACCAAACATGTCTTCTGAACCCTCTAACCCACAAGCCGTTGCCACGGGTACCTCTCCATCCAATTTATCCATCCCCACATCACCTGTCCCTGAATCCGATACATTGCCATTCATTCATCCTCACAATATTCACCCTATGACAACAAGAGCAAAAGATGGCATTGCCAAACCATGTCAACAACCCACACTTCTATTAACCCATGTTGAACCCAAAACAATCAAACAAGCCTTATCCAATTCAACCTGATCTGCTGCAATGCAGACAGAATACAATGCCCTGCTTAGTAATGGCACATGGTCTCTAGTTCATCTACCACCACATAGAACTGCCATAGGTTGTAAATGGGTCTTTCGTGTCAAAGAAAATCCAGATGGCACTATCCAAAAGTACAAAGGTCGTCTCATGGCTAAGGGGTTCAATCAACAATTTGGATTTGACTATAATGAAACTTTCTCACCTGTCATCAAACTTGTCACAGTTTGGCTTATCCTTACTCTTGCCTTAACCCATCATTGGCCTCATCAACAATTAGATGTCAATAATACCTTTCTAAATGGCACCCTTGAAGAGGAAGTGTATATGACTCAACCCCCCGGATTTGAAGCTACTGATAAAAACCTAGTCTGTAAACTTCACAAAGCCATCTATGGGCTCAAACAAGCAACTCGTGCTTGGTTTGAGAAGTTAAAATCAACTCTACTGCAGTTTAACTTCCAAGCAAGCAAGTGTGATCCGTCTTTGTTCTTATACTCAAATGCCAACAATGTCATCTATAACTTGGTATATGTAGATGACATTATCATCACCGAGAATAATCCAACCCTTCTTCATACACTTGTTTCTCGACTTCACTCAGCCTTTTCCCTTAAAGATCTTGGTGATCTTGATTACTTCCTTGGCATTGAAGTAAAACTCAGTCTGATGGCTCCCTTATCCTAACTTAAAGCAAATATTTTAGGGATCTCTTAAACCGCGCAGATATGGAAGCTTCAGAACCCATTTCTTCTCCAATGATTAGTGGCTGCAAACTATCAAAAGTTGGCACCGAAGACTTCCTAGATGCATCTCTCTACCGTTCGGTAGTTGGCGCATTACAATATGCCACCATAACAAGACCCGAAATTAGCTTCTCAGTAAACAAAGTCTGTCAATTTATGTCTCATCCTCTTGCACATCACTGGTCCGTTGTTAAACATATTCTCCGCTATCTAAAGGGCACTACCTCTTGGGGTCTCCATCTGCAACCAGCCCCTTCCAACTCCCCTTTATCCATTCATGCCTACTATGATGCAGACTAGGCGTCTGATCCTGATGATAGGAGATCTACATCAGGAGCCTCCATCTTTCTTGGACCAAATCTTGTGTCTTGGTGGTCCAAAAAGCAAACTGTTGTTGCTCGTTCCAGCACTAAAGCAGACTATAGAAGCCTTGCTCTTGCCACAGCTGAATTTACTTGGATACAAACCTTGCTCTCTGAACTTAAAGTTCGTCATTCAACTCCAATCATTTTCTGTGACAACTTGAGCACCGTGGCCCTAGCTCACAACCTTGTTCTTCATGCACGCACCAAGCATATGGAATAAGATCTGTTCTTTGTTCGAGAAAAGGTAGCTTCCAAGCATCTTCAAGTAGTGCATGTTCCAGCCATCGATCAATGTGCTGATGTTCTCCCAAAAGCTCTATCTCCTGCACGGTTTTGTGTTCTTCGATCCAAGCTTCAAGTAGTCAAGTCTCCTCATCCTACTTGAGCTTGCGGGGGGCTATTGGAGTTTTACTCCTTACTTATATATGTAGAATAGTAATGTAGATTATTTTTAATCTTCTTTTTTAATGTCACATTTATTGTCTTTATTATAGACCAACATAGATTGGCTCTATATAAACCTGTCTTATATTCCTTGTGCAGTTAGTGAAAACATATTTTGCTTATTGAAACATTCTCTCATCTTCTCTCTTCCGCTCTCTCTCTCTCTCTCTCACACACAATTCTATTAGCTACAAAAGTGCAAAATTAGAGAGGACGCATATTTATCAATCTCAAATGGCAATGTGGTGGCCAATTCCTAAAATGCTATTGCAGAAAGTGGGATGGCCACTACCTTAAATATTATAATAGAAACTAAATAGTGTATGCTACATATAATAAACACTCAAAAAACAAAACAAAACAAAACACCCAAAAATCAAGATGGATAAGTCAGAGTTTACACACACAATCACCATTAATCTAGAAGCATTAAGAACATTCCAATAAGTCAAGAAAAAGAAAGATGATGGTTAAATTCAATAAGAAAATAACCAAACAAATTAGACAAAAATTAGCAAAATGTGATATGGACAGTCTAAAGGAAGAACAAAGGCTTAAATATGCTTTTAGACTCTTAAATATGGGATAAATTTGAATTTTAAATTTAAAATTAAATTTTTAGTCCCAGAATTTTGTTTTTAAAAAAATCCAATCCCCCTACCAAAACATAATCAGCGAATCAGTCACAAAAAATCCGCCTACTAATGTACTTGTTACTCATTAGTAAAAACCTCGCATCAAACCTAGCTGATGGCATGATGCTACATAACTAACTTAATTTGCCCTTGCCATCAGTTTTTGAAGGATACATCATGTTCATGGTAACACCATAGTAGTCAATCCCGGATAGCGGCGCGGAGCGGTCGACCCTAAAACTGGGATAGCGGGATGACGCGGAGCGGGATAACCGCTATTTTAATATTAATTTATATATATTAAATAATTAATAATATATATATATAAGCTAAAAAAACAAAAAAATAACTCTAAATTCATACATTAAACTTTTTTAATAATTAAAAGTTCATAGTACTCAAACAATACATAATATAAAATGTCTCCAAAACAAAGTAGAAAAGAAATTTTAAAAAATTGTTGAATTATATTTAATCAGAAAACAAATCTGATAAATTAAATTTAATCAAAAATTAAAAATACAATTTTCTGAAATTAAAAATAAAATTTTCTGAATTAAATTTAATCAGAAATTAAAAATAAAATCAGCTGAATTAAATTTAATCAGAAATTAAAAATAAAATTTACTGAATTAAATTTAATTAGAAATTAAAAATAAAATTTGCTGAATTAAATTTAATCAGAAACTAAAAATAAAATTTGTTGAATTAAATTTAATCAGAATTTAAAAATAAAATTTGTTGAATTAAATTTAATCAGAAATTAAAAAAAAAATAATAATTTAATAAAAAATTAAAAAACAAATTATGTTGCAATGTACATAAAGGAGAGAATACTCGAAGGAGAAGACGAACTAAGCGAGGCGCGTCGGAGCTTGCGGCCACGTCGGAGCTGGAGGCGCGTCGGACCGGGAGGCGCGTCGGAGTTGGAGGTGCGTCGGAGCTGAAGGCGCGTCGGCGACGGAGGTGCGTCAGAGCCGGAGTTCGTCGGAACTGCACACACGATCGCCAGAGAAGAAGAAACAATCTGAGAGGGAGAGACGAGAGAGGGCTGCGACAATTGAAATCGCGAGAGGGAAAGGGAGACTTAGGGCAAAAAAAGCCCCATTGAAAAGACTGACTTACCCTTAATGAAGGGTAAGTCGAAATCGCGCCCGCGATTCCGCGATTTGTGCCGCTCCGCTCCGCCT